CAATAATAATCAAATAATAAAACTAAACAAAAAAGTTCAACTCCTTAAGCAGTAACTCTTACAAATACAAATTATATAATTTCACATTTCTTTAACAAATTATTTTTTATCTTTCTTTTAAACAAATTAATTGAGCCAGCATTTTTACAATCATTATCCAGATTATTCCATAATCTTAATCCTCTGACTGAATTACATCTGTCCTTTAAACTTGTTTGAAATTAGGTTTTACAAAAAATTCTAGTCCCTTTAAGATTATAACAACTTTCCCTGTTTAATAATTTCAACTGATGAAATGATATATTTGATGGGTGACAGTAATGTTTTCTAGTGATAATTCTTACTGCTCTGGTCTGTAAAATAAAAACTATAAATACTGTGGAAATGTTGGTGTTCGCTGAGCTTAACAAGAGAATTTCTCTTTTTTTCAGACTTGTTTTTTCACAGAAAAGTTTGTTTTTAAAGTGATAAGTTCTCATGAATAGAAATGTTGAAACAGTTTGAAAACAGCTTAAATAATTCAGCCACACACGGCAGCACTCTTCTACTCTAAACAAACCCTTCACACAGCTGTAGTGTTGTGTTGTCTTTGTGTGTCTGTCTACACTGTGAGCAGCTGTGAGCTATAATCAGACTCATCTGCTGTGAAATCTCAGGAGAGCAGCGTACTTTGACTCACCCTCGGACTGATTCTGACAGTTTCCGTGCAGCCGAACCACAGCTGCGGGTGTCTGCAGACAAAAGTGTCGAGTCAGCACTTCCACTTGGTCACATTTAGACACTCATGCAGCTTTTGGAGCCACGATAGTTCAGAGCAGTGTTTATCCATAAATACCATTAAAAATTGTTTCCTCCTCGATGGGATTGTTCTGAGAACGGTTGTTTACGCTCACCTGGACGCAGACGACTCGTTTGTCGTGTAAATTCTGATTCAGCGTTCAGATTATTTCACTGCACAAATACTTTCTGCTTTCACTTACTTCAGCCGCTCGTGCAGCAGAATGTTTAGTTTTTTACTTTTATGCTTTTCAAAAATATTATTTCACCTTATTCACAAAAAATCATACTTTTCTTTGAAATCTGCTTCATAGAACAGGCTCCTACTTGTTGTCTTATGCTACTTTGTTTTTAGCTAGCCTTTTACAGCTGTTAGCTTTTAGATATCGTCCTGCTACTTTAGCTAGCATTTGACTTTTTTAAGCATTTAAGCTAGCTATATGGTGCTTTAGCTTTTAGCTACATTTATCTGGTATTTACTAGCTTCTTTTAACGTTTCAGCTAGCTACAGTATTTGCTTTTAGCAATCTTCTTGCTACTCTTAGTCATTATTTTTGCTTCTTCAAGTGTCTATTGTAGCTATTTGATACTTTTAGATTTTAGCTATCTTCCTTCTACTTTTAGCTAGCATCTGGCCTTTTTAGCTCTTAAGCTAGCTATTTAATACTTTTAGCTTTTAGCTATCTTTTTGCTACCTTTAGCCATAATTTGGCTTCCTCTAGCATATAAGCTAGCTATATGATACTTTACCATTTAGCTATCTTTCTTCTAATCTGGCTAGGTGCCAAAAGTAGCAAGTTTTTAGCTAAAAGTAAAAATGTATCTAATTGCTAGCAATAAGCTAAAGTAGCAAACTAACCTAAATCCAAGGTAGCAAAACACAACTAAACGTAGCTAAAGTCTAGCTACAAGTATAAAGGATCAAAAGGCTAGCTAAATTATAAAACTACAGTATCCAAGTGTTAGCTATAAGCTAAAGTACTAAAACAGCTAAAGCCTCAAGTAGCAAAAGACTAGCTAAAGGTTAACAAACTCCATGATGTAATCAGATCTTTTTGGAGTTAAAGTGATTTTTTTACGGCTCAGTTCAGGCTGTAAACCTGAGATTATTCAAGATGATAAAAAATATAAAGTAAATGAAAAGAATCTCATCAAAGTTGACCCTGAAGTCCTCTTCCTCCTCCTCTGGGCTGATCTGTTGTCTCCAACATGAGGTTCATGATAAGAAATGATATTTAATTTTTTTATATCTGTTTCTGGTCTTTTTCCCACAGTCTGGACCAACGTGGAGCCTCGCTCAGTGCCAGTGTTCCCCTGGCATTCGCTCGTCCCCTTCCTGGAGCCCAGCCAATCAGGAGCCGCCGCCCAGCCCGCTGACGGCCAGCAGCTCGTCAATCAGAGCAAAGGTGACAGCGACACCCTGCAGACACAGAATCCAGACAAACCAGTTTCACAAACAAATATTTACAACTACATTTAAAATTAGATTTGATTTTATTTTTTAAGAAGAAAAATTGAAGAGAAATTATTCAACCAGATGTCATTTCCTCCAGATTACTGTAGCTGGTTTCATCAGATCAAAAACTACAAACATCGTCAGAAAAGTCACTGAAGCTCACTAAATGTTGCTAAAAGCTAAGAGCAGCTGAACAGAAGCTAAATGCTAAAATGAAAGAAATATTAGCTAAAAGCTAAGACCAGCAAAAAAGCTCTTAAAACTAAAACAAGACAAACAGTAGCTAACAACTAAATCAGAAAATTATTAGCTACAAACCTAAACCAGGAAAATAATTGCTTAATATTAACAAAATAATAGCTAAAAGCTAAAGCCAGCTAAATACCTAAAATCTAATGCTAGCAAACAGTGGCTAAAAATTACAACCAGATCTACAATAGCTAAAAGCTAAAACCAAAGAAGTATTAAAAACTGACWTTAGAAAAAGTAGGTAAAACCTAACATCTGCAAAACAGTAGCTAAAMGCTAAAACCAAAGAAGTATTAAAAACTGACTTTAGAAAAAGTAGGTAAAACCTAACATCTGCAAAACAGTAGCTAAAMGCTAAAACCAAAGAAGTATTAAAAACTGACTTTAGAAAAAGTAGGTAAAACCTAACATCTGCAAAACAGTAGCTAAAAGCTAAAACCATCTAAAAAGAGCAAGGTTAAATGTTAAAACCAGAATAATAAATCTGCAAAATATTAGCTTATTGCTAATATTAGCAAATCAGTGGCTAAAAGCTAAGACTAGTAAAACATAAACTTAAAGGCGCAAAACAGGAATTAAAAGCTAAAAACTAAGTTAATATTTTAATTTAATGTAAATAAAATAATTTGTTTTAAAAATATAAAAGTTAAAAATCTAAAAGTCAGAGCTGAAAAGTCCTGATGGAGATGAACATTTTGATGAATTATTGGTTAAAAAATATTATTTTTATTTTCTTATTTTGGTTTAAGTTTTTTTCGGCTGATATAATGATTTGTTTTTCAGAGCCTCGCTGTGCCGTAGCGCTGGTGAGCGACGGGCGGGCAAACCCTCCAGACCCCGACAGGAGCTCGCCGTCCTGCCCGCCCTCGACCAATGACAATCCTCCTGCAGAAAGGGGCGGGGCTGACAGCGAGACAGAGAGCGATACAGACGACCCGTGAGTTTAATTAAAACATTCAACATGAACCTCACTCAGACACAGAGCAGAGCTTATCTGCTGCTAACGAGCTGCTACACGGAGAAAAGTAGCCGAAGAAACTCTGGGTTTAATTTAACTTCAGGAGTAGAGCAGCTGAAAAAACTAAGGCCGTTCCTCCAGTCGAACACAAACTTATCTGTCTTTGTTTACAAGAGCCGAGATTTAAATCAGCTGCTGTTTACAAACTCACTGTTTCAGTTTGTTTATATTTCATCACAATAAGCTGCTGACAAATGTGAAAAAAAATCACACGGCCTTTAGCTACTACTGGTTTTAGCCTCTATTTGCTATTTTTCTTGTGTTAACAATAAGCTACAGGTTTGACAAGTTTGGCTTTTAGCTGCTGTTTTGTCTTTAGTTTTTTATTTTTGATAGCCTTAAGTTCAAGCTAAAGGTTTGCCAGTTTTAGCTTTTAGCTACTGTCCTGCTGGTTTTAGCGTATAACTGCTGTTGCACTGGTGGCTAACAATTTGCCACTTTTATATTTTAACTACTGTTTTGCTTGTTTTTGTCTATATGCTATTTTGATAGCTTGATCTGTTAACTATAGCTTGCTAATTTTAGCTTTTGGCTGCAGCTTTGCTTGTTTTTGTCATTAGCTGTTTTTATAGCCTTAAGTTCAAGCTAAATATTTGCAAGTTTTAGCTTTTAGCTACTGTTCTGCTGGTTTTAGAGTATAACAGCTGTTTCGATAGCTTTAATTTGTAGCCATAGTTTTGCTATTTTTAGCTTTTAGCTAATGATTTGCTGGTTTTAGCCTTTACCTGCTGTTTTGATGGTGGGTAAAGATTTGACAATTTTAGCTTTTGGCTACTATTTGGCTTGTTATTTTTCTTAGCTGCTGTTTTGATAACATGATCCGTTAACTATAGTTTTATAATATTAGCTTTCAGCTACAGTTTTGCTTGTTTTTGTCTTTAGCTGTTTTGATAGCTTTAACATCAAGCTAAAGATTTAACAGATTTAGCTTTTAGCTACTGTTCAGCTGGTTTTAGAGTTTGACAGCTGTTTTGACAGCCTTAACATCAAGCTAAAGATTTAACAGATTTAGCTTTTAGCTACTGTTCAGCTGGTTTTAGAGTTTAACAGCTGTTTTGACAGCCTTAACATCAAGCTAAAGATTTATCAGATTTAGCTTTTAGCTGCTGTTCAGCTGGTTTTAGAGTTTAACAGCTGTTTTGACAGCCTTAAGTTCAAGCTAAAGATTTTCCACTTGTATATTTTAGCTACTTTTTTGCTTGTTTTTGTCGTTTATGCTGTTTAGATAGCTTGAACTGTTAACTATAGTCTGCTAATGTTAGCATTCAGCTACAGCTTTGCTAATTTTGACATTTATTGACTTTTTTCTGGTTTTAGCCCTTGAGTATTGTTTAGCTGGTTTCTGTAGTTTTGCTTATTTTAGCCTTTAGCTCCTGTTTCTGTTTGTAGCCTTTAGCTGGTGTCGTTGGCTTTACCCCCTCACTTTTTCCAGCGTTTGGACCAAAGTTGTATTTTCTCGCAGCTTGCCGAACGCCTCGTACATTTTGTGTTTCCTTTCTGCCGCTCTGTGTGTGACTCATCACAAAGTGGGTAGTGACCGTGATCCGACGAGGCTTTAAGACTCGAGGCTGAAGTCCGCCCTCGCCTGCAGAGCTGAAAGGAAGCGGCGTGCGTGCGGCTCGTACTCGTCGGTTTCTCGACTCTGCACCGGGCCGTCTGGAGGCGAGCCCGGTTCTGAAGGCCTCGGGGTCACCGGTGCTCACCGAGGCCTCCGGTGCCAAAGAGCCGCTCACAGCTTCACCCGTTCTTTCTTCCTCGTCTCTTTGAATCGACCGTTCATGAAAACAGAAGTGACACATTTTACAACCTTTGGGTTTTATTTAGAGCTCAGCAGAGTTTTCTTTTTGTTTACCTTCAAAAAGAAACAAACTGAAGCAGCAACAAGTTGTCTGGCTCTGATAAATGTCTTTATTTTTATTTCTAAGGTTTAATCAAATCAGCGCCGTGTTTGCAGCTCTTTCAGCTTTCTCTCTTTGTTTTTTTAACCTCTGCTGGATTTTTATTTCTTAGAAATCATCAATAAAACGTCTGAAACGAAACATAAAACCAAATAGTTTTCACTGAGTTCGGACTTGGTTTGACCTCAGTTTCAGAAACTTTTATTTTGAAAGCTTTTTTTGAAGATTTGAAGCAGTTGATTTAATTTTTTTTTTTTTGTGCGTTGATGCAGATTTTCGCCCGGCATGGCCAACGAGCCGTCCCCGTCCACCGGACCCATGAAGAGACGCACGCAGTCGCTCAGCGCCCTGCCGAAGGACGGAGACAGGAAGGTCAGCTGAAGCGCACGTCACGAAATTTAAAATAATAAAACGTAAATATCCTCACTGTTCGTCTCTTAAATCCAACCAGAGGGAAAAGGACCACATCCGTCGACCCATGAACGCCTTCATGATCTTCAGCAAACGCCACCGGGCCCTGGTGCACCAGCGACACCCCAACCAGGACAACCGGACCGTCAGTAAGATCCTGGGGGAGTGGTGGTACGCGCTGGGCCCCAACGAGAAGCAGCAGTACCACGATCTGGCCTTCCAGGTGGGCAGGAAGACCCCTTCTTAGATTCATCCTTCATTTCACCAACAGGAAGTTTAACCTCTTCTTCTTCCTCCGACAGGTGAAGGAGGCCCACTTCAGAGCCCACCCCGACTGGAAGTGGTGCAACAAAGACCGCCGAAAGTCTCTGTCCGAGGGCCGCGGGACCCCGAAGGAGCTGCGTGAGAGGAGCATCTCTGAGAGCATAGGTGTGTGTGCGTGATTGACACTTTTATTTTGTCTTTAAAAACTCTTTATATTTAATCCCAGCTGTGCCTAAATCTAACTTTATTAAATGTTTGTAAAAAGTATGTTAAATTTCTGATTTATTAACATAAATTCTGTTTCTTTTTGTTACATAAAAAAGCTAAACTGACCTTTTTCGTCCTTATAAACAGCATAAAGTCTTATTGATCGGAGGTTTTATTGATTCGAGTCTTTCTTCTCGTCTCCAGATGCCCTTTCAGAGTCTCAGGTGACGGAGGGGAAAGGAGCGGGCTCGGGCTGGCCGGGGGGGTCGGAGCGTCGAGGGGGGGCTCTGGGGGACCAGCACCCCCGTCCAAGAGCCTTTTCCCAAAGCGCCGTGCACACCCTGGAGCAGCGTGAGAGAGACCTGGAGAAGGTACGAGGTGGTAGATAAAAGATAAAAGTAGCAAAAAGCTAGCTACACTATCAAAGGCTAAAAGATAAAAGTAGCAAAAAGCTAGCTACACTATCAAAGGCTAAAAGATA